AATCACTTTTAGCAAGATAACTCAATCACAGTAAGAATTATATGTGTTTGAAAGTTTACTCTGTGGAGTTCAACTATAGGTCAGTACCAGGGGCAGACTGACAACTCATGGGGCCCCCGGGCAATAGGGGATCAGGGGGCCCCTGTGTCCTCACCCACACTCAAACCACACCTAAAAAAGCCTATGAAAGGTACCAGGGGCATCTCATGGGGCCCCCTACTGACCCCGGGGCCTCGGGCAGTGCCCGAGTTCCCAAATGGTCAGTCCGCCCCTGGTCAGTACCACAATTGTGTATTTCTAAACTGCACATCAAACTAATTGTTATGGATCATTTTGACTGTCGGTTATCTACTTTTGAATTTTGGGGAAAATGAGGATGACATTGGGGTTAATTTACAAATGACAAATAGACTATGCACTTTGCAAGTGAATTTGCATTCATTTCCCCCAGATCTTAGTGAACGTGGTGAAGCTTCACTTTACCCAATTAGGTGCAAGGGACATAAAAAAAACAGCATTTTTGCTTGCACATGATTGGATGATGGAAATCATGAGAGCTTCACCACATTCACTAAGCTCTGACGAGAATGAGTGCAACTGCAAAGTACACTATTTGCCTTTAGTAAATCAACCCCATTGTGTTCATCACCACTTTCTTATTCTCTCCAAACACTTTGGAGTACATAAGACCTCACTATCATCACATCTCAGACAAAATGCATACAAAAATATGTGAGATGTGATAGGCCATTTTTTCTACCAATTGCATCTCTGGAGTACACCCCACTGTATTTTTAATGGATGTGAACTGTTAAGTTGCTTTGTATGATGCTGTGATATATGTCAGGATGTACAGATAAGTGCACTTAAGTAAAAAGCATTTCCTATAACTGGTGTTATTTTTGCAATTCAGCCCGCAATCAAAGGAGGGTGGTTTTTTTTTTTTTAATGCGGGTAAATAAACCATAGACACCCGGGTACTTGCCTTATTTGCTAGCCAAAACACTAATCAAACTAAACTTTGTACAAGCAAAGCTGAGCTATGGAAATGTAAAATTTCTTGTACACAGAACACATTAATAACCCAGAAATAGTATAAATAGAGGGACTGCATTTCCACTCACAAGGTATCCCACCAATAAGAATAACTTTATAAAAAATGATGAAACCAATTAAATTGCTCTTTATTCCTTCCTTGAGTCTAAAGTAGTTCATGTATTAGTATAGAGCTTACTCAGTCCCCTCTAACACACTTGATCTTAGACTAAAATTAGTTTACACCTGTGTGACTTAAGAGTAATGCAGGCCATACATGAGTCAAATTCTGAAAGAATTTTCTTTCGAAAATCATAACGAAAAATATTCTTTCAAATTTCACAACACTAGTGGCTGCAGTATTGGCCTATTTTCGTGTGGCTATTGAATTTGAGTGACGGGCTAGTTGGAATTTAAAAAAACAAAACAAAATGAATTTCTAATTAATGATGGGAGAATCACGTGAAAATATAATTAAAGAAATGAGCATGAGCTGTGGCCTAGAAAGAAAAAAAAGATTCCCAGCCAGGAAAATTATTTTCTGCAGCAGCATGAGGTGAAATTGAAGGCTTGGTTGGCTGAATTTTGAAATTAGTGGTGGCACCATCGAATTACAAAATGCACAAAATTTCCGATTTTTTAAAGAAAATTTGTGTTCAGATTTTGACCCATGTATGGCTTGCATTAGTAAGCTGCCACTTTATTAGGATGCACAGGAATAAGGTCACATACAGCTTAGGGGTAAATCAATTGGATATATTATGGCAAGTCAAAGCAACATGGTATAAATCTGTAAACAGACAACTGCACAGACATAAAGGCAGAGATAAAGGCGATATGGTCCTACTAACTGGGCCAATATAATCCACAAACTATTAATGAAAGGCTATGGCAATGTTAAATTTAACTACAACAGGTGTAGCTAGAGTCTCTGTAGCAGTGTTCACTAACTAACAAAAGGTAAACAGGTCCTTGTGTACACACTCTGCATAATTGTATACAGTGTGCGGGTGTTTGCATCTCTAGTGGATGGAGTACCCTTAAATGTGTCTGAAAGTACCAAGCTCCTGGTACTCAATGTTGGCCAGCTTTCAGTGGGGCCCTTCTTTAGGTGGTGCACTGTCCTTTTACGAGTGTTAGTAGATGACAGAAGGTAAGCTAGCAAATAGAGGCAGTCTTTGTTTGGACTAAGAAATGTGGCAGGCATTTAGAACATGTAGTTTATCTCACCACTTTCCTGGTAGGTGGCTAATCAGGTCACAATGTCTTGGCTATCAGCAGCTTCCAGCAATAAGGCCTCAGATCCTCACACAGGCCCCAGTCTCTCAACTCAGACCCTGAATATGCAATGACCCTCTCTCTCTCTGTCTCTCTCTTTTTACCTTCTCTCTCTCTCTCTCTCTCTCTCTCTCTCTCTCTCTCTCTCACTCAGTCTCTGAAGGCAGCTACAGCAGGCTCAGGTGCAGATATGTCCTGTAGGGAACAGGCACAGTAACAGGCCCTCTTAACTACTCTCTAGTCCAGTCCCTAGGATGTGAGGCACAGCCCCTCACACCAGATCTTTCCTTGTCGTTCTTTTTCCTAAACTGCTCCAATCAAGATCAGTTTGCCCGGGAAAACGTCTGGGTACAAGGATTTGTGGAAATACCAGTGTTATAATGCAGCTCTATCATTGGTGCTCTGGCAGAGGCAACTTTCTCTTCATCCACATGATCCATATAAATAAAGAGAAGGTGGCACTTCAGTGTATGCACTGCAATCTTGTGTTTATTGGCGGGTAACAAATGACAGCCACAAAAGTCAGCTCATTTTGGCCAACTGTCTTATTCATGACTCAATGAATAAGGCCAGTTTGTCTAAAATGCCTTTCCTTTTGTGGCATTTGTTACCCGCCAATAAACACAAGATTGCAGAGCATACACTGTAGTGCTAGTTTTTCTTTGCAAGGATTTGTGGGAATTGGAGTCCACAGCCTGTTAGCCTCCATTAACAAGTATGGCGCAGCACCCCTTAAAGAACTACACTCCCAGAATCCAATGCATCTCTCCAGTGAGCAGGGGACAGAAGATCACAGAGCTGACTGCACCTGGCTACATTAGACTAAGAACAAAATGCATTTTTACAATTGACTTGTACAACAGTAGTCAGAAAGAGCAACAAAGTAATTGCTGACATCACATTTGAAGACCAGACAGCAGTAATTATTATTATTACTTTTTGTCTTTTCCTCAAGCAACTGTAGAGCACTACTACAGCATAATAACACTTTTTATTAAATAGTTAGATAATTTTATATACTGTGTAGCTGATTTTAACCAAGTCCGTATTTTCCAATATACCAGTATAGCAGGCTGCATATATGAAATGTAATTACTCTACTGACTTGATCGTGTGTGATGATGATGCACCATGCTTTACTAGCAATAATATTCTTAAATCTGTTATGTGGTTATTTAATTGCAACAATAACCTTTCTCAAAATGACAATCACTCAGCATTTGTAAAACTGCCAGAAAAATATTTTGAAGGCTTGGCATTCCTGTATGCATAGCTTATCAGGGACTACAAATGTAAGTGTTTTGCATGCTGACATGGAAGAGTGGTGTTTTCATTCCCTGATTTTCACAGATTATGAACTGATGTGACTCATGTGTACCATGTATCTTCCAGAGAAAATTGATTTGTTAGCAAAATGTTAGCAGCTGTACAAGCAGCTGTAGACCCCCAGTGGTTGCAATCCCAATGTGACAGCAATTTGGGTAGAGGGGAGCCAGAACATTTCAGGATGACTTAATTCCATTCGCTTTAAAATTAGTGCATCTAATTTTGTTCCAAGAATGAGCTAACTCACCATCTGATCAAATCATTTCCCCAGACTGTAATAAAACAAAAGTGAGAGGCCTTAGTAAATAAAAAGATTTTTAATTAATGTGTATTGAGTAAACTGCATTTTGTACTTGACATATGGCCCTGTACATGCATTTTAATTAAGAACTGAATAAAGCTTGCTGAATAATCATGCAGTTGTTCTGTTAGTTGCTATGTAACATCAATACGTGTTTTGTTTATTTGAAAGACCTTTGAGATATAATTCAGATAGAATTGTTTAGTATATTAAAGGTTGCTCAATCTTTTATTTCTTTATAAGAATGTTATACAGCAGTTTCCAAGCAATCGTATTTCAAATATAGCTATGCAAAAATAGAGTGTTATTTATTGCATAACATAGCATTAAGTTAGTATGACATAACATTGAGCTACTTGCAAAAATTACATTTTCAGTTTTAGTAAGTGGCTGTTGATTTAATGACCCACCAATTACTTATGTTTTTTGCCAGACAAAGATAAGATCTTTGCTTCTAATTCATACCCATGTGTGAAGGGCCTTCTTCATCCCCATGGGATACACAGGTGTTCTTGTCTGTGTTCTGATCCATGTATCAGGCACACATGGATGTACAATCTGGGATGCTCATCCACGCAAGTCTGTGCAGCCATCTGTCCATCCTTAGTTTGAAAAGGATGCCTGCATGGAGCTGTATGGAACACCTATGCATCCCACTCAGATAAAGGCAACCCTTTGCACAGGTTTACAGATTAGTACATCCATCTGCTTAACCACTAGCTTACAGGGCACTTATACCCCCTTCCTGCCCAGGCCAATTTCCAGCTTTCAGCGCTGTCACACTTTGAATAACAATTGCGCGGTCATGCAACACTGTGCCCATATGAAATTTGTATCACTTTTTTGAGACAGATAGAGCTTTCATTTGGTGGTATTTAATCACCTCTGGGATTTTTTTTTTTTTTTTAAACAAACCAAAAACCACTAAAAAAAAATTTGAAAAAAAAAAAGTTTTTTCTTAGTTTTTGTTATATAATTTTGTAAATAAGTGATATTTCTCCTTCACTGATGTGCACTAATGAGGCTGCAGTGATGGGTACTGATAGGTGACACTGATGGGCACTGATGAGGAGGCACCGGTAGGTTGCACTGATGGGCATTGACAGGCATCACAGATGGGCACTGAAAGGCAGCACTCATATATGGCACTGATAGGCGGCACTGATAGGTGGCACTGACTGGCACTAATGGGTGACATTGAAAGGCAGCTCAGATGGGCACTGATATGTGGCATTGATGTGCACTGGTATGCACTGATATGTGGCATTGATGTGGCACTGGCACATGGCACTAATGAGCACTGATGGACACCGACAGGTGGCACTTCTGGGGTGGCCCAGTGCTCTGATGATCAGTGTACATGTCCCCTCGGCAGAAAGCCGATTACCGACTCTCCTCTCGAGCTGTCAGCATGACAGCTCGAGAGGAGAGAAATGCCAATAACCATGTTTACATGTGATCAGCTGTGATTGGACACAGCTGATCACATGACCGAGCCGACATCTTCAGCTCTTTCCGTAATCCGCTGTGTCCGAGGGACACAGTGCAGCGGCGATCGCCGTGCTGCGCGCTCCCTGAGCCGCGCATGCACGGTGAGAATGGAAGCACGTCATATGACGTCCTATCAGAATGAGAGAGAACCACCTTGTGCCCAACATTGTACTACATGGCGGGCAGAAGGTGGTTAAACTGCAGACTAAGCAAAATGGTAGTGTGACAAGAACACCCCTACCTGGAAAAAGAAGGTTATTAGGTGATCCACGCGGAGTAATATGAATTCAAAAATATTCCAAACAATTCTTTATTTGATCACATAGATCATAAGGAGGTTAAACATGAGCATGGTGTACATATGAAAAAAATAAAATCATGTTAAAAAGCACTAGGCGTCTTCAGTTTAGGGTCATCTTAGCAAATAGAGTACCACAAGGCAGAGTTATAAAGTGGTGATATAGTTATCCTGGGTTTCCATGGGTTTTCAGCTTGTATTCGAGTAAACCATGTATGCAGCAAATGTGTTCCCAATGTATGTCAGGTATCTCCTGATGTGAAAAAAGCTGGAATACAAAAATATATAGTATATATATGGAAATATGAAAACCAAAAAACCATATCATACATCCAATATTCACCAGGCCTCCCTCTACAATGGTCAGTGGATACTACTATTACCTTCTCAAAGGTGAGGTTGACAGGCCAGCTTCTCAAGTGTAGGGACTTCCTGGATAGCCACCCCAAATAAAATAAAGTCCACAGTTTACCAAATGATTCTGAGGATATATATAGAAAAATAGTGAAAAATGTAAAAATCATGGGCATCAGGTCACCCTGAAAAAAAAAACACACACAGAGTGGGTTATATTACCATCAATGAAGATCAAGAAGACATCTGTCGACTTGAAATAGGATCAGGTCCTTGATGCTTTTTCCAAGATGCATATGGGGGTGAGGAGCCAGGTAGTCACAATACATAGATTCCAAACACATATACTGTGTATATAGCATATAACAGGCTATACGGGCCTGAATTCTGATACCCAATAAAGGGTTTTCCAAAAATTGCTCAAAATGAGAAGATTATTATTTCCATATACTGTGTATTATAGCATATAGCAGGCTTTGTAAACCTGAATTTTTATACCAATAAAGGGTTTCCAAAAATTGCTCAAAATGAGAAGGTTTTGCGGTTTTCATGAGGAAGTTAGGAAGGCCCTGGACTCCCATTGGTACTTATTAACTCAAAAACCCGCAGATAGCCAAAGTAGTAGTAGGAGAGAGCCCTCAAATGGTAGCAAAACGAACTCGGAATCTAAATGATATAAAAGTAGTACAATCAGAATTCCAGAGGGCACCACAGAGAAACTGGTTAACTAGGAGGACCGGTATTTATGGAATGTTCCCTTGTGGTCACTGTCAGATATGCCCATTTGTGCATAAGTCTAATCAGTTCTTTAATAATGATAATTCTAAGATATTCCAAATACGCAGCTTCATTAATTGCTCAAGTAGCAAAATAGTGTACATGATAGAATGCCCATGTAAGAAGATGTATATAGGTAAAACCAAAAGGAACCTTAGGACTAGGATTGGTGAACATCTGAGAGACATCAGAAATGAAAATAGGAATGTAAGAAAGGGAGAAAAAAAAAAAACCCATTGGCCCAACATTTTAAAGAAGTCCATGGGGGCAAAACAGATGGTCTAAAAAGTAAAAGGGATTTTCATGCTGAATATTTCAGCCCGTCGGGGTGACTTTGATAAAGTCCTCCTACAAAAGGAAAAATTCTGGATTTATACCCTGGGAGCACTTGCCCCATATGGACTTTAATACAGAACTTAATTTTGGGGTTTTTTTGAAATGAGTCTCTTGGAGCCTTCTACATATCCTAAGCCATAATCCATATTATGATATCCTTTATGTGAACTAAATATGGATATATTTGGACAAAATATGAATCTTAATTTTGTATCTGATTCTATTTTCTCTAGATAATTAAAATAAATTCAAATAAAACTGGATTAATATTGAAAGCCTGGGTAGCGGAATCTGGTCTTGATGTCTTCCCCACTGGAAACAAGTATTGTGCTAATTTAGATTTCCTCTTTATCTTTAATTTAATTTTTCTTTGAAGAGGATCTGATTTATAATAATATTTAGGCTCCTTTCTTCTATATCCAGCAATCATTTTAAATTCAATATATGTGTTTTAATTCACTTTGGATTATTCCAATGTAGTGATACTCTTTCAACACAAGATGGCGAGGTGGAGACTCTTTGGTATGCAATTAGAGCAAAAAATACCATATAAGGCGAAGTATTGAAGTCCCCTCCCAGTTCTGACGAAGTCTGCGGTGATTGGCGGACGAAAAAAAATCAACGTATTGACGTCACTACGCTCGGCATCTTCACTGGGTGCGGCGCCCACGAGGCGGGAAGGAACGGCGGTGTCACAGCTCCCTGCTAGGAAGGCCCTTGACCCTCTGAAAAACTACCATAAGGCTATTGTTGCAGGGGCTCGCAAACGGCTATCTTTCAGGGAAATTTATCTTCCACCGGTGGCAAGTTAATTTAGCTTACGGCTGTTGAGATTGATAGAGCTTTTATGGTGTTAACAAGGGCATGCTATTTGGGCCTAAATTACCCTGTATATTCGGGGAATCTTTGCAAATCCTCTTTGGAGGACGATCTACATATATATATATATATATATATATATACGCTATCCTATCTAGGGGTTGTGCTGTGACATAGCCATATCCTCATGAAACCGCAATAACCTTCTCATTTTGAGCAATTTTTGGAAACCCTTTATTGGGTATAAAAATTCAGGTTTACAAAAGCCTGCTATATGCTATATACACAGTATATGGAATAATAATCTTCTCATTTTGAGCAATTTTTGGAAACCCTTTATTGGGTATCAGAATTCAGGCCCGTATAGCCTGTTATATGCTATATACACAGTATATGTGTTTGGAATCTATGTATGTATTGTGACTACCTGGCTCCTCACCCCCATATGCATCTTGGAAAAGCATCAAGGACCTGATCCTATTTCAAGTCGACAGATGTCTTCTTGATCTTCATTGATGGTAATATACCCACTCTGTGTGTGTTTTATTTTCAGGGTGACCTGATGCCCATGATTTTTACATTTTTCACTATTTTTCTATATATATCCTCAGAATCATTTGGTACTGTGGACTTTATTTTATTTGGGGTGGCTATCCAGGAAGTCCCTTACACTTGAGAAGCTGGCCTGTCAACCTCACCTTTGAGAAGGTAATAGTAGTATCCACTGACCATTGTAGAGGGAGGCCTGGTGAATATTGGATGTGATATGGTTTTTTGGTTTTCATATTTCCATATATATATACTATATATTTTTGTATTCCAGCTTTTTTCACATCAGGAGATACCTGACATACATTGGGAACACATTTGCTGCATACATGGTTTACTCGAATACAAGCCGAAAACCCATGGAAACCCAGGATAACTATATCACCACTTTATAACTCTGCCTTGTGGTACTCTATTTGCTAAAATGACCCTAAACTGAAGACGCCTAGTGCTTTTTAACATGATTTTATTTTTTTTCATATGTACACCATGCTCATGTTTAACCTCCTTATGATCTATGTGATCAAATAAAGAATTGTTTGGAATATTTTTGAATTCATATTACTCCGCGTGGATCACCTAATAACCTTCTTTTTCCAGGTAGGGGTGTTCTTGTCACACTACCATTTTGCTTAGTATGTACCTTTTGGGTTTATGGAAACACTTATACCAGTGAGTCGGAGATAAGTTAATGACACTAGTTATAAAAAAATTATTGGGTGGCCTGTTTGTGCTTTATTGTTGGGTTAAACTGCAGAACCTAGCAGCACAAAAACAATGTTACTTAATTCTCAATGTTGCAAATGTTATCTATCAGTCCGTTTTATACAAAGGGCCGGTTCACAAAGATTGCAAAATAAAAAAAAGGTGCACATTAGACATGTGCAGCTTGTTTCCTTATGAATCGAAATTCAGATGAACTTTCCATTGTTCGGAGATTGGGATGTATCTGAATTACAATAGCAATGAATCTGAAATAACGAAACAAAATTTGGCCGAAATTCGAATTGATTCGAATTTGAAAACACATTCGAAAACAAATTTGAAAACAAAAAAATTAATAAAAAGAACAGAAAATAAAGGAACAGAAAAGAAAAAAGAATAAATAGAAAATAAGAATAATAAAAAAAAAAAAAATACAATAGAATAGAAAAAAAGAAAAAGAATAGAAAATAAAATAACAGAATACAATAGAACATATGTAAGAGTAAAACAACAACATAGAATAGAAAATAAAGAATAAATAATAGAAAAGAATAGACTCAATTAAAATAGAATAGAAAATATTAGAGTAGAATAGAAGATCAAAGAATAGAATAGAAAAGATTAGAAAAGAAAAAAAAAAGAATAGAATAGAACACAGGATGAGCATGGAGAGATCTGCAGGGTGTTGGCGAGAGTGTGGAGAGATTGGCAAGACATTTGGTAGGAGTTTCCAAAAATACAGATATTCTGGAAGAAAATAATACATCAAATTAGGTTGATAACGGAAGTAGAGTTGAGATTGGATCCAGAAATATGTCTGTCTTTTTCATAGAACAGATTTGTCAGTTAAGAAATATAAAGAAACAGGAATATGGCACAACTTGAATGCTGCAAAGGGACTGATACCTAAGTTTTGGCGTAAGGTCGACGCACCAGGGGAGGAGGACTGGATGGATAGAGTGGAACAGATTAGTAGGATAGAAAAATTGTATTACACTCAAGAGGATAGATTAGGAGCATATTATGTGAAATGGAACAAATGGGAAGAATATAGACTGAAGGTCAAATGTATGAAGTAATAAATGATTATTGAGAATATTTTCCTTGCTTTAAGAATTGAAGTGTTTATGTTTGGATAAGATGGAAAACGTAGGATAAAAGTGTGTGGGGGGGGGAAGGGGGGAAGGAAGGATGGGGATTTTGATAGGTAGGGAGAGGGGATGTTATTAAATGAATGGAAATGGAAGTGGAATATGTATTTTTTTGTTTTTTTGTGAAA